AGGGGAAGGGAAAAAAGGGAAAGGAAAAAATATGAAAAGAGGAAAAAAATGGAAACAAGGTCTTTGCAAATAGGGAAAGGTGGAGGGGGCGGAGGGGGTGAAGGGAGGGCAAGGGAAGGGGAAAAAAATAAGAACTAAGGTACTCATGTAAAGGTACAAGATCCCAATGATGAATGTAACTGTATTTTATATCAAAAATGTACCAATAAACTTAATGCGAAAAAAAGAAAGGAAAAGGTTCTCTGTGCATATAATTAAGGACATTATGATAAGACCATTCTAGAGTCCCCAGGTTGGCCCCGAATCCACTGAAAAGTGCCCTGATGAGAGACCGAAAAGACCACACAGACAAGAAGACCGTGTGAGGTTGGGGCAGAGACTGGGCAGGGAATACTAGAAACCAGGAGAGGTGAGAGAATCCTCCCCTAAGGCCTACAAGAGGAACAGGACCCTGAGGTTCCCTGATTTCTGCCTTCTGGTCTCCAGTCTGCTGTTTTAAGATACCGAGTTTATAAAAAAAAAAGATATCAAGTTTATGCTGATTTGCTATGGAAGCCACAGGAAAGTGATACACTACCCACCATCCTCCCCACTGAGTCAACAGTTTACAGGTTGCTAAGTGAGGAGAAGGTTGGGAGAGAGAGAAGGAGGAAAAAAACCCTGCTAAATGCTCATAAAATATTTACATTTAATTTATTTCCCTAACATAAAGCTCCAGTAAATCTCCAAAAGATAACACATTTTTTTGGATATGGAGAAAAAAAATCTGTCATCTACTTGAATATAGTATTAGTATGTGTATCTCTGCCCTTTACAAAGTGGCATGTGGTAGCCTAACAGGGTCAGCAAAACACCTGTCATCAGCTGGGGCTGGAAAGTTCTGTCCTGCCCATACTGCACCTACATCAGTGCTGGGTTATTTCACTGTACCACATGCAATGGTCCCTCTACCACATGAGTGTGGCTAGATGTCCTGAGTCCAGCTACACCTTTCCTGTAAGTTCTGGGCTCTATAAAATCAGACTGACCAAATGCAGAAATACATTTCCTTGGCCAACAGAGACTGGGAGACAAGTGCTTCAAGGGAGAACAGGGTGGAAAAGGAAAGGCACATGTTTTCCTAGCTACGCTTCTGCTCCTTTCACCACAACCAAGCTGCTTACTACCACCATCACCTGACAGATTCCCCACCAAGTGCAACAGCTGGAGAATTCTTTTATTTCTAAGTTACTAACCATAAAATGCTCACCAAAACAAGTGAAAAATAAGGCTGAGAGTGTAGCACAGTGACAGAACAAGTGCAAGTCCCTGGATTTAATCATCAATGCCAAACAAAAGCGGGGAAAGGAAAAGACAAGGGGAAAAAACCCAATACTGAACAGTTTCGATGCCATGGGGATCACCCACTGAGTTGGGCACAGTGGCTCAGGCCTGTAGTCCCTACTTCTCAGGAGGCTGAAACAGGAGGATCACTTGACCCCAAGAGTTCAAGACCAGCCTAGACAACAATGAGATCCCATCTCAAAAAAAAAAAAAGGTGAAAAACACTCATGTACAATTTAATAGATAGCACAATCACTCTTGCCAATTAAAAGAAAAAATATTCTCTTGTATTACTGCAGTTCCAGTGATATGTGAACAATGCCCTAGAGCTGGGTCTCTGGAATCCACACCTGATGTATTTGTTCATGAAGGGAGAAAATGAAAGCAAAGACCTGTAAGGAACGCTCAGTACCACAGTGCTGGCCGGGACAGACTGCATATCTCCAAGAAGGACACTGAGATAACACACCCCTTGAAAGCCCTGCCCAAGTCAGAGAGCCAGTAGATCTGAGCAGCCACCATAGTGCAGGCCCAGCCAGGGTACAGCAGACCTCGAAGTTGGCTTCACAGAAGCAAAAAAGAAACCCATATTAGCTCCCCTACCTGTTCAATTTTTATGTTCACATAAGGTCTTCCAAGTCCCTGCTGTCCAAACCACACCCACGTACAGGACTCTTCTTTCCAGATGTATAAAAATATAGCATTTAATACAGAAAACAACACTCAGGATACCAGTTTCCTTCCCCAGGCTGCTGAGAACACATAAGCAGAACTTTTAGCCCATCCCTTCACTTACCTCGGGTAGTATATCCTCCAATGACATAAATCTTCCCCTTACACTCACACGCAGAGAATTCAGCAAGAGGATTTGGTAATGGTGCCACAAAATTCCATGAATCCTGCTCAGGATTGTAACACTCAACATTAGAAACAGCCTGCCCACCAATGGCGTAGAGTTTTGATTTAACAGCCACGAGTTTGAAGTTAGACCTGAAAGAGAGACAAAAGGGCCCACAAAGTGAGTTCTGATCCCAATAAGCATAACAATGGCATGAACAACTAAAGCAGAGAATGGACTCTACTGACAGCTAAAGAAAATCAGCTGTCCACGATGGTAGTCATGCTGCCCAAGGACAGAGGCATGACACGATGACTTCTCCAGTACAGGACAGCTCTTGTCCTAGAGGTTCCACAGGAAGGCTGCATTCTCCACACATTAGCAGTTGAAGATAAGCAGTTCAATATAACAAGAACTAATCTCACTTAGTTTTAGGCCAGGCACCAAAGATACAGTATGAACACTGAATTCAAACAGTGGGCCTCTGGATCCACAATTTTGCACTCATGGATTAAAAATATGGGGGTGGGAACTTGACCTATACTAAATATGCAGACTTTTCCCTTTCTTTACTCTCTTTAAAATACAGTATAACTATTTACATTACATTTACCTTATATTATAAAAACTAGAGATTATTTAAAGTACACAGGAGAATGTGCATAAATTATACACAAATACTGTGCTCTTTTATGAAAGGGACCCGAAAATCCATGGGTTTTTGTTTGTTGTTTCTCTGCTTGTTTTGAAACAAGATCTCTCTGTGTAGTTCAGGGTGGCCTCAAATACAGAATTTTCCTGCCTCAGCACTTGAATGCTGGGATTAGAGGCATATACTGCCACAGTAGCAATCGATTCATGAATTCCAATATCCAGCAAGAGTTCCGGAACAACTCCCCATACGTATTTTCTTTCCAGGGAGGAGCAAGTGTAGGAGAGAAAAGCATCAGTCTCACTCCCTGGTTTTCTCCCCTTCCCATGTTGACCTCATTCCTTTCACTGAGTGGGGAGACCCAACCAAGGTGCACACCCACACTGCCTGCACAGTCAGGCAGAAGCAAAAGGTGCTGCCACTAAAAGGCCTCTGCGAGCCATCAGCCCTCCTTCCACCAGAGTGATTATAAATTGCTTCATAAAATATAACTTGGGGGACATAAGCATGGAACTAATTAAAAATACTTGGTACAGTATTTTAAGGTATTTATAAATAGTAAGAAATTATTTCTATCAAAAAATTCATACTTATCACAATGTTAAATAAACAAGAAGAAAAACATACTGGTTTCAAGCCCCATATTCAGTAAAGAAGTAAATGCTGCTCATCAGCTTCAGATACAAGGTAAGTCCCATTACTTTTGTTGTTGCTGTTTAGGCGGTGGGGTGCACTGGGGATCAAACTCAGGATCTTGCACTTAGGAGGCAGGTGCGGTGCCACTGAGCTAAGTCCCCAGCCCAGTCCCATTACTTTTGAACTGAAAAGTAAGACAAAGTTAGATTAAGAAGCACCAGTGAACAGTAGCCTAAGCCTGGTCTCCTAATAGGTGTTGAATAAACACTGATGCATTATAGGATAGATAATACAGAGTCCACCATAAAAATGTATACACACTTTAGCAGTTCGCTGTACTAAATATCCAAACTAAATGTCTGAAAGCTAATGACCACCACATTGTGTGGGAGACCACCCCACTGATTATGCCCAAAGCAGGCTGTGAGCAGTACATACTAAAGAATTAACCCCATAACTGGCTTGTTTTGAGAAGTGAGCCTGGCCGAAGGCTACATACCGAGGTGAGAGTTACATGCACCCAAATTCCATTCCCAAAATTAAAACCTTCTTTACTAAAAAGACAAAGTTAATTATTAACCATAACCTATATTTTGTCTGTTCTGTTCCTCATTCAAGAATGCTCTGTCTCAAGAAGTAAAAGCTGCAAATAAACATATGAAAAACTTTTCAACATCACCAGTCATTCAAGAGATGCAAATGAAAACAACACTGAGATTCCACCTCAGTCCAGAAAGAATGGCTGCTGTCAAGAAATCAACCAATAACAAATGCTGGCAGGGTTGTGGGGAAAAAAGAACCCTTTTCCACTGCTGGTAGGAGTGCAGACTGGGGCAACCACTGTGGAAATCAACATGGAAACACCTCAAAAAACTAGGATTAGAGGTCCCATTTGACCCAGCTATTCTCCTGCTGGGTATCTTCCCAAAAGAATTTAAAAAATCGTATCACAGCGATATATTTGCACCATGTTTATAGCAGCACAGTTTGTAATAGCTAACACTTGGAAACAGCCCCAATTGTCCCTTTAATTAGAGACTGGATAAAAAAATGTGGTTTTTTAATAAAATGGAGTACTACTCAGCTGTGAAGAGTGAGAAACTAGAGACATTTATAGCTAAATGGATGCATATTGAGGCCATACTCTTAAGTGAAATAAATAGGACACACATGTGTAAATACTGAATAG